ATCGAAGGACTGAGTAATAATAATCATGTTAAAACTGCAGAGCTGAAAGGGACGCTATGGATCATTGAGTCCAGCCCCAACAAAGAGTCACAATGGGAAATCAAATTCCCAACCTCTGGCTCTGCAGCCACTGAACTATAAGAGGAGCATGGTTTCTGAATACGGCAAATTAAAAGAGAATACCGGACTTACACATGATGTTGCTATACACGTCCCCCAGTCATTATAGGTCTCCACTGTAATGTTGGATAAAGCTGTTCTTAAAAGTGGGCACAAAATTTTCCAGAGGTTCTCCAACTGTACAGTAAAGTGGACAAATAGAATGTTACATGATGCATATGTGACACCTGTAATTTCTCTAAGCTATTTCTCTTACTGGAAGGACAATGAAAAATCAACTTGCAAATCTGTAATAGATATAATCCAAACTTGCTGTGACAGTTTCTGCAGGTTTCATTCAACAGCAGCACAAAGTCCTTCAACTTTTGAGTAAAACAGTATCTCAAAACTTCATGGAGCAAAATATAAACAGCCCTTATTACTTGTACTGCTTCAAAACATCCTTAGTTTTAAATCAAGAGAAAAATTATTTGGGATAGGAAACCCTACCAAAACCAGCTATGATTCTGGACATTTAAAGCATAACTCATATTATTTATGTATATATTGCTCTTCTTTAGGAATTCACGCTAGTTTTTGCAACCATAAAATGACCGCCATTTCATGTGCATTTTTGTGAAGTTAAACAAAACACTACCTTTTCAAATGTCCAGTGTTTAGACCCTCTTATCAAACCAGCTATAATTTCAGCTACACATCGCTGAGGACTTTCATGGGAATCCACAGCAAGACGTTCCAAATGGGGTTTTAGTACAGGCAAGAAGGCATCATCAAAGTTTCTGAACAGGCCCTGTTAAAAGAAGACATTTAGTGCTATGCCTGCATTGACACCAGTTACACTTCCAGAGGAAGAAAGGTTTGTGCACTCTTCATTTAGGAAGTTGACCATATTAATTCTTCAGAACACATCAACAACATACAAAAGGGACAGAGCTTTCCACTTATTTAGGTAACAACATGCTGCCTATATGAACTGAGATGGTGGCTTTACGTTTTCTGAACTGTAGACTAGTTCGGGGTGGAGCCTGTGAGTGGAGGCGGGGCATGCTCATGGAGGGCGGGGCACCTGTGAGTGCAGGTGGGCAAACTACGCATGCAAGTGGAGGGGGGGAGTGTGTGCGGGGGAAGGGATCTCTCTCCATGGCCCGGTCCTGCCAAGGCCATGGACCAGCAGTGGACCGGGGATTGGGGACACCTGCCTTAAGAAGTTATGATCAAGAGAAGAACAATGGAAATCTACACATGGAATTGTGCTTTCTGCAACAATTCCTGAATTACAGAAAGCCATGGAGCTTATCAACCTATATCCACACCAAATGGATGTGGCTTCTTAGACTACAAGTTTGACAAACGTTTCCTATATATAGGTTATGGGAAGGGCTAGTGGGAGGCAACAGGAATGCTCCTCTAGAGGAATTTTTAAAAAAAACCTGCTACATCAACACAAGCCCATTTATGGACAATGCTCATTGTGAGATGAATAACATTCTTGTAATGTGCTTCCCCCAGAACTGTACCACCACTTCTTCAGCAGCAGCAGCATCAGAACAGCATATATACTATGTTGATATTTAACATATACTTAAGTTTCTATACTAGTCAATTTTTAACTGCCTGATATTTTAATAATGATGATGATGAAGATGATGATGATGATGAGGATGATGATAATAATAATAATAATAATAATAATAATAATAAGAAGAAGAAGAAGAAGAAGAAGAAGAAGAAGAAGAAGAAGAAGAAGAAGAAGAAGAAGAAGAAGAAGAAGAAGAAGAAGAAGAAGAAGAAGAAGTGCAAGTGCTATCAAGTCAATCCTGATTTATTGCATAATTTCTTGGTAAAGAATACACAGAAAGGCTTTACCGTTCCCTTCTTCTGGCAGCACCGTGGGATGGTGCATCCTGCCCAAGGCCACAAGGCTGGCTCTTTTCCCTGGAAGCACAGTGGGGAACTGAACCCCAAGCTCTGGCTTTGCAGCTAAATAT